ATCAGTACAAATGCTTAAAATTGTGGGGAGGAAAGGTATTTTTTCAATAGACTACTGCTGTCAGAACTCCAGTTGTCAAACCACGCAGACCAAAGGCTGGAAGGTGGAGCTCAGCTGCACAAGTCATTTTGGTCAAAAGTCAGCTTGAAAAGGACACGGGTGTAGTTTTGCTTCTATTTCTTATGCGTTTAAAGGTGGCACGCACCTGCATAGAACCACAATCGATGATAAGATCGAACATAGTTTTTCTTTCTAAAAGTATCGTTGGTGCACACATCTAAAAAGCTATTTGGAAGCTACAATGAAGTCAAATGCTAAGTTATTTCTGTAGCACATCATTTAAACAGTCCAGCAGGGATGTTCACTGTAGCTGAGTATTCACTTTAAACTTCAAAAATTGTGGCAATATGAAATTGCTTTCCAAAGTACGTTATCTGGTCAATAGCTATATTTATGCTCTCTATCTGCATTCTACCTTTATGTTTACGAATACGGAGAAATTGTGCATTACGGTAACTTCATCCAAAGACCGGCTAATGTTCTGGGTTCAAATCCCATTACAGCAGCTGGTGGATTTTGAATTCAATTAATACACCGGAAGATAAAGCTAGTCATTAGTAATAGTTAGCATGACAACCATCATCACTTGTTTCAAACAAGATTCCACATGAAAGGCTGGTCCAAAAGGTAATGCCCATGGGATCTAAGGCAAGTTGGCAAACTGGACTTAAAATTGACTTCCAAATTGGAGGCAAAGGGTGATGGCGAAGGGCTGTGTTTGCAATTGTAAGCCTGTGACTAGTACTGTACCACAGGGTATTAATACTGGGACCCCTGCTGTTTGTTATGTACATAAACAACTTGGATGTGAATATAGAAGGTATAATTAGTAAATTTGCAGAAGTGGAGTAGTGGTGTTGTTGATAGTGAAGAGGGTGGCCTCAGGTTAGCTTGATACTAATCAGGTGGTAAATTGTGCAGAGCAATGGCAAATGAAACTTAATCCTGATATGTGCAAAGTAATGCATTTTGGGAGGTCTAACAAGGACATAAGGAATAGTGGGTCTCTAGGGAATACAGTGGAACAAAGGGAT